ACCACTGAGCTAAATCCTCAGCCTGATAATTATATTAATTGATTTTTTCTTTTTTTCTTTTTTTTTTGGTACCAGGGATCAAACTCGGGACCTTGTGCTTGTGAGGCAGGTGGCAGAGATAATTTAGTTTTTAAATTTTATATATAGGAAACAGGCATTATGTGCCCTTTTGTATCTGGCTTTCATTCAACTTGATGTTTCTTAGATTTATCCATGTCCTTGTTTAGTACAGTATACTGAAAATGCTACTGGTCTCGTAAGTTCTGTGAAATTTAAGTATAATTTTATTTGTGTTAGCTTTTCAAGGTAAAATCTTTTATTTCCATAAACAACAATGAGACAATGATTGCACTTGTTTTGTTGCTATACAAAAATATTTTAGCAATGTCAGTAGAAAATTAAATGAAATGAAAAAATTATTTGTCCATTAACTGCCAACAAATCAATTGTTTTTACATTTTTCCCTTTCATTTCTTATATACATATATGCTTTTGTGCATTCATTTTGTTTTTTGTTTTTTTGGTACACTGGGGATTGAACTCAGGACCTTGCATTTGCCAGGCAAGCATGGTGCCACTGAGCTAAATCCCTGGCCCTTGTTTTGGTTTTGTTTGTTTTTGGCTTTTTTGTTTTTTGTTTGATTGTTTGTTTAGACAGGGTCTTGCTCTGTAGTTCAAGCTGGCCTTAAAGTCACTATGTAGCCCAGGCTGGCCTTGAACTAAAGGTGATCCTCCTGTCTCAGCTTCCTGAGTGCTGGGGTTACAGGTGTGGACTACTACACCTGGCTTGCACTCATTAATATAATTTTCTAGGGGCCGGGAGTTAGCTCAGTGGTTCCGCTGCCTGCCTCACAAGCGTAAGGACCCAAGTTCAATCCCTGGTACCAAAATATATATATATATATATATATATAATTTTCTAATTCAAATTTTAGAAAGTTATGTATTTTTCACCTGTATTATTACCTATGAAATCTTCTGTCAAGCTATATAATTACTTAATCCTAAGGGCTTTTTCCAGGTTTATAAAACTGCCACTAGTGTTCAGGTTAGGGATTCATTTATAAAAGTGTCCTTGCTGTTCTGGACTATACAAAATTTTTTTTTTTCAGGCAAGGTCTTGCAACGCAATTCAGGCTGGCCTTGAACTCACCCTGTAGCTCACAGACTGGCTTCAAACCTGTAGCAATCCTCCTGCCTCAGCCTCTCGAGTGCGGGATTACAGGAATGTGCCACTATGCCTAGTTTATCCACAATAAAGCTTTTTAATAAGTATATATTAATGTCTTAAATTTCCTAGTAGATTACCTAATAATTTTTTTTTTGGTACCAGGAATCGAACTCAGGTCCTTGCGCTTTCGAGGCAGACACTGGAACCACTGAGCTAAATCCCCGGTCTCTACCTAATAATTTTTTTGTTGTTTTGTTTTGGTTTTTGGTACCGGGGATCGAACTTGGGACCTTGTGCTTGCGAGGCAGGCGCCGGAACCACTGAGCTAAATCCCCGGCCCTCCTACCTAATAATTTTTAAGAGCAATTTTATTCTCAAAAAGAGCTATAAAATGTTGTGAGTTCTAGCACAATTTGTCTCACTTTTGGATATTGTTCAGAATTTTTTTGCTGTATTTTTATGAACTCTGCAACTGATCATGTTTCTTCCTTCCTCTCTCTCTCTCTTTTAAGCTAAATGTTGCCAGCTACCTACAAATGATCTGCTTAACTGAAAATTTCCGAACTGATGTAAGAGACTTTGTAACCTTGTTAACTGCAAATGCATGTGATATCAGAAGAAGTATCCTTTACTTACAATTTTGGGTTAGAAGTGGAGGTGGATTTTTAGAAGAAAGGCCATTATCTCATCCTGGTAAGTTGATCTATTGTAAAAGAAATTTCTATTATAGGACTTTATTTTTAAATATATGCCGAACTAGATGAAACTATTTGAAAGTAATTTTTTAGCATCCAGTTATCATGTTGATCCTCAAAGTACATATACATATGTTCTCCTAGTTACTTTTCTCATGCTGTAACAAAACACCCAACACCCAAAATTAAAGGAGGAAGGGTTTATTACAGCTCACAGTTTGTAAAAGTTTCAGTTCATAGTTGGCTGACTCCAAGGCAAGGTGGCATGGCAGAGGAGAAACAGTCCATGGCAGGCAGAAGGCAGCAAAGCAGTGAAGTAGCAAAGAACCAGCAAGTGACAACAGTAGCCCTCTTTCTGTACTCCTCAAACCTAGGGTGGGACACTGTTAATCCTAGCATTGCACCATGAATTAACCCACTATCACACATCCTAAATCCAGCCACCTCTGAAAAGCTCCACCTGTGACCACATGAGGCTTTGGGAGGCTTCTAGATACAACCCATAACATGTCCACTTTGCTCATGAAAATTTTTGTGAATCTTTAGTATAAACTGAATGAAGCTGACTGGAAACAGACCTTTCTCTGCCTGTGCTGCTCTTTGTTGTGTAACCTCCAAAATTCAGTTGATTTCTTTGTCCCTGTTTCTTTACCTCAAAAATGAGAGGGTTGAACTAGATAAATCTGTAAATTACTTTTTATTGTATAGTTATTCTATTAAGATTATAAGTGTCTGGAGGTATAGTTCAGTGGTTGAGTGCTTGCCTAGCATTTACCTGGCCCTGGATTAGATCCGTGATAACAGTGAAAAAAAATTCCTCCCCAAATATTCACATATTCAACTGTTAAAATATCTGAACTGTCACTTACGCATTTGTGGACCTACAGTGTTTTTAAAAAATTTTTTTGGTATCAGGGATTGAACTCAGGACCTTGCGCGTACGAGGCAGGCACGATGCCACTGAGATAAATTCCTGCCAACATATAGTTTCTTATAAAAGAAATACAGGGGCGGGAGGTGTCCAGGTGGAGGGAGGCTGCGTGGCAACTGAGCCGGGAGAGGCTGGTGCACCTGGCCCCCCCAAGTCCTCCGGCATCTGCCCTGTTGGGTGGCATCCAGTGGCCAGGCTCCAGCGCCTTCCCAGCGGGAAAGAGTGAACCATGGAGCTGCATGTGGGAAATAAGTACCGCCTAGGTCGCAAGATTGGGAGCGGGTCCTTTGGGGACATCTACCAGGGTGCCACCATCACCTCTGTGAAGACGAAGCACTCGAAGCTGCACACTGAGAGCAAGTTCTACAAGATGATGCAGGGGCAAGTGGGGATCCCGTCCATCAAGTGGTGTGGGGCTGAGGGTGACTGCAACATGGAGCTGCTGAGGCCCAGCCTGGAGGACCTCATCAACTTCTGTTCCCGAAAGTTCAGCCTCAAGACAGTGCTGCTCCTGGCCGACCAGATGAGCAGCCTTGAGTACAACCATTCCAAGAACTTCATCCACCAGAATGTCAACCCTGACCACTTCCTCATGGGCCTGGGAAAGAAAAGCATCTTGACGTATATCATTGACTTCAGCCTGGCCAAGAAGTACCGGGGCGCTTGTACCCACCAGCACATCCCCTACCGGGAAAACAAGAACTTGACCGGCACTGCTCGCTACACCTCCATCAGCACCTTCCTGGGCATCCAGCAAAGTCGAAGCGATGACCTGGAGAGCCTGGACTGCATGCTCATGTACTTCAACCTGGGCTCCCTGTCCTGGCAGGGCCTCAGAGCAGCCACCCAGTGCCAGAACTATGAGCAGATCAGTGAGATGTCCACGCCCATTGAGGTCCTCTGCAAAGGCTACCCCTCCGAGTTCTCAACTTACCTCACCTTCTGCCGCTCCCTGCAGTTCCATGACAAGCCCTACTACTCCTACCTGTGTCAGCTCTTCTGCAACCTCTTCCACCGGCAGAGCTTCTCCTATGACTGTGTCTTCAACTGGAACATGCTCAAATTTGCGGCTTTGAGCGAGGCTCAGCCCCGCGACGACATCGAAACTATTGCACCGCCCTGCCCCCATCCTTGGCCCTATGCTGGCCCTCGTGCTCACCCACATACTGGTGCCCAGCCCCGCAGATAGGCCTGTGGTGGAGCTGCCACCACAAAACTACTGGCCTGTGGTCTGGACTCCAGGGCTCCAGTTCTAACATTGCCTGATGTACCCATCAGGGCCAGGCCTAACAGGGCATCATTTGTTTAGGATGGTAGGAGTGACAAGCTGTTCCCGAGAGGTGGCGGTGCACTGGAGAGGGTATGACAGAAGAGGCCCTGCATGGGATTCTTAGGAATGAACCAGCTGCCCAAGGGCCAGGGCAGGCGAGAAGACCAGATAATGGCTCCTGCCCAGGAGTGGCCTTGTGGGCATGGTCAGCAGGACCATCAGCAGCCTCTGTATTGAACCAATCTCATTAATTGTTCTCATGTCCCAGAAAACAAACAAAAACTATATTATTATCAGCTTCCTTTTTTCACTTACTGTAAACTATTGGTGATCTTAACATTAGTATATATATAGATGTATCTCTTTTTCTGTGAACTATGCTGTAAGCTTTTACCTTGTTCTGTTTTTTCTCAGAATTTTATTTCAGATATGCCTTTTTTTTGGTACAGGGGATCAAACTCACAACCTTGCACTTTCGAGGCAGGTGCTGCACCACTGAGCTAAATCCCCAGCCCTCAGATTTGCTTTTATTTCTCATTTGCTCTTTATCACTGTGACCTAATCATGGCACACTATTTAGTTTCTTCATGCCTGGTCCTGTGTTTTCATGAGTAAGCCATGTTCCTTCTTTGAAAGAAATTGCTAGTTTATGTTTTGCATGCTTACTCCATAGTCGGAGTTCTGGGAAACACACACATACTTAAATAAAATCAAGGTGATGCCCCTCTTAGCGCACCTGGCAGTGCATCAGTCTCATAAATGAAGTCAAGGTGAGGTTCTGTAATTAATCCCTCATCATTTTTTCCTTTAACTTGAGAGCTTGTTTGGAGGTTCCAGCAGGGGAGCGCAGCTACTTTTATACCCTTGACTGAGGAAACCGTCCTTTTCTATCGGGGTGGTTGTCCTCCTTAACCCAGGGTGCAGCTTCCTGAGGGATGCACATGGTGTGGTGAGGGAGGAAGGGGACAGCCCCCTAGCCAGCCAGATCAGAGGAGTCAGTGCTGGTGATGAGTGGGGTGACAGATGTCGCAGCCAGATTGCCTTAGATTTACATCCTTTTCCCTTTATTTGTTAAAATTTATTTGTTTTTTGGTATCAGGGAATCGAATTCAGGACCTTGCACTTGCGAGGCAGGCGGTAGCACCACTGAGTTAAAGCCCCGGCCCAAGATACACACTCTTAGAAAATTCAAGTAATAATCACATATATGAATACATGCACATACACACACACACGCACACATATATAGTCTTCCATTTGTTAAGATAGCTCCTAGAAGACTTTTAGATAGGTATATAAACTATAGCTACCTATTTAGTTAGCAAAAGTTTTATACCTTTTTTGGTGTGTATAGTGCTGGGGATCAAACCCAGGGCTTTGTGAATGCTAGGCAAGTGCTCTGCCACTGAGCTACATCCCTAGCTCCCTAGTCAGTTTTTAACTCAGCGATTTATTGTCAGCACATACAGTTTTACCTTATTCTTTGTTGTTGCGGCATACTATTCCATAGAATAGAAGTACCATAATTTCATCAATCATTTTTTTTTTTTCCTGGTACTGGGAATTGAACTCAAATCATTACTTTTTCACAGGGATTTAAATTATCTTCAATTTATCATTATAGTAATGTGCAGCGGTTGGGTGTGCTGGTGCACAACTGTAATCCCAGCACTTGGGAGGCTGAGGCAGGAAGATTGCCAAGAGTCCGAGGCTACCCTGGGCTACATAGCAAGACCTCTCATAAAAAGCAAAAAGAAGGGCTGGGGATGTAGCTCAGTGGTGCTGCGCCTGCCTTGCAAGTACAAGGTCCTAAGTTTGATCCCTGGCACCAGAAAAAAAAGAAGGAAAGAGTGCAGTGAATATTCATATATCTTTGAACATATCTGTGAGTAATTTCTGGTGCAGAAAGATCTAGAAGTGTGATTGTTGAGTTGAAAACTACATACACTTATACTTTACATTTCAACAGATGTTGCCAAATTGCCCTCTGAAGATAATAGTACCAACTTACGCTCCCACAAATAGTATGATGGGTCTTCTATCTGTGCCGTTAACAGAACTGTATTATCAATCTTTTTTTTTTAAATTTTTTTGGTAACAGGGATCAAACTCGGGTCTTTGCGCTTGCGCAGCAGGCAGCGAAACCATTGAGCTAAATCCCCGGCCCTTATCAGTCATTTTAAATTTATCAATTTAAAATGTGAAATATGGACCGTATCTTATTTTTTGTTTTCAGTACTATGGATTTGAACCCATGACCTTTGCATTGAGCTGTGCTCCCCCTTTTTTATTTTTTATTTTGAAACAAGGTCTTGCTAAATCACTAAAATTGCCCAGTCTGGGCTGGAACTTGTGATCTTCTTACCTCAGCTTTCCAGAGTGCTGGGATTACATGTGTGCACCAACATGCCCAACTTTATTTTAATTTTGTATTTCTGTGATGACTAGAGAAAATGCAGATCTTTTTTGAGGGGGGGAACAGTGTCTCACTATGTAGCCCAGACTGGCCTCAAACTTGCAGTGATCCTCCTGTTTCAGCCTCCCAAGTGCTGGAGTTACAAATGTGTGCCACCATGCTCAGCTGCATCTTTTTATTTTTATGAGCTATTTTTTTTCTTCTATGACTTGCCTGTTCAGTCTTTGCCTTTTTTTTTGCCCATGTTTTGTGAGCCACCCTACCCATTATGGCACCTAGCTTAGGTATTGTTATAAAAAATGTTTATATTGTTTATTCTTAGTGACTTCAGCACATAAGGGAGAACAAAATTGGGTTATACATTAAAAAGGTGCAAAGGATAATTGCACCTTTTTGATAACTGTTTGATACAATTTTTTGAAAACATATATAGCTAGAATTTTTCTTTTATTAATTTTATAGGAGGAAATAGCCGAAATGTACTAGTTTGCACTGAAGATGGCCCGGATTCCAAAAATAACACTAAAAATGCTAAAAAGAATTGGAAAGTCCTTCCCAAATGTGACACTGGCTGTGCTGAGAACTTCTTTGGACTCAAGAACATTTTTTCCCCATCTGAAGACTTATTTTCATTTTTAAAGGTATTTTCAATATCTATTTGGAATGTTGAATTTGTATTCCTTTTTATTTTCCTAACATTTATGCTTTGAGTCTTAAGTTTAACTTAAATTTGCTTACAATTTTTATAGGCCTTAGATTTCCAATTTTAATACATTCTACCACTTTGACAAATGGTGCATAGACATTGCTCTAAATACGTATTACAGGATTTAGAGTAGACTATACTCTTTTCAGATCAAAACACAATGTCAGACTTAAAATAAATGACTTAATTACTGAATTGTAGTATATACTAGATATATAAGTATTAGAGCCTTTAGTTCTCCAAATTAGCAGTACAAATTTAGTTTTTATTTTTATGGGTTTTTTGGTACTGGGAATCGAACTCAGGGCCTCGTGCTTGCCAGGTAGGCACTGTGCCACTGAGCTACATTCCTGGCCCCAAATTTAGTTTTTAGACTCAATACCATTTTAATATTTTATGTGTAGGATAAAATTATAAGGGTAGTGACTCAAAATAGAGACAACACTGTATTCATATGGGTAGAAAAATGCTCAATCCATGTACTGTCATAACATTTCTTAAAATTCACTTTTCAGCACAAAATCACAACAAAGGACAAATGGCATAAACTCATCCAGCTTCTTACAGAATTCCACATGCAGAACATAGATTTTTTATATAGTAATCTCGAATTCATCCTACCATTACCAGTTGATACCATTCCAGAAACAAAAAAACTTTGTGGCTCATCTGTAACTGTGAACGCCAATGCAGTAACAAGAAGTATGAAATGTTCTGAAGGAGAGCAGCCATTGAAGAAGTCGCAGAAAAAGAAACGTAAGAAAAAGATGGTGATACTAGATGACAGTGACTTATTTGACACTGGCTTGGACTTTTCTGATGAATTTATTAACCTAACCCCAGTGTCTTCCTCAAATTTAGAAGAAAGTAAAGCCAGAGACAAAGAAAACAATCCAGAGAGAAACCATCTAAACCAGTGTTCAGAGTCTGACCCTGAATCTATTCCTTGTCCTCCTAAAACACCAGCAGAAAAACAATGCTCTGTCCTTGTTTCTCGTTGTTTAAGTTCTCTCACTGAGTTCATGGATAACATGTCCTTCTTAGATGCCTTCTTAACTGATGTAAGGGAACAGAAGGAACTTGGTAAAAATGACTTCTGTTGGACAAGTGGAAAGGTTAAAAGTGGACTTTGTGATGAATTTAGTCTGGAGAGTGGTGATGGATGGACTTCGCAAGGCTCTGCGGAATTAAAGGCAGCTGTACAAGCTCTCAGCTTTACTAAGTGTTCATCTACTATTTCAAAAGCATTGGAATCCTCCTTGAATTCTTGCAAGAAATTAGGAAGAGATCCAACCAACGAGCTTACTTTTTATGTTTCACAAAAGCATAATAATGTATGCTTTAGCCAGTCAGCAGCTAATGTGGAGTAAGTCTTGCTTTTTTTTACCTTTTATTTTTCAGTAATAAACGGCAAAGGGGAAATCATTAATTTCTTTCTTCTTATTAATTTTAAACTGCTGGGCTGTTGACCATGGTAAGCACTTAAAATTAATAATGTAGCTTCTTGGCTTTTTTTTTTTTGGTACTGGGGATTGAACTCGGGACCTTGTGCTTTCGAGGCAGGTGGTAGAACGACTGAGCTAAATCCCCAGCAATAATGTAGCTTCTAATGAGCGGTAAGGAGACCAGCCTGATTGCTAGAAAGATTAGGATGGGCTGGCTTTAGGAAACCCTTGAGTAAGAGGTTTGGACCTGCCTTGACAGATAGCAAGGAGCCAGTGAGATTTTTCAGTATGGAAGTGTTTAAGTGTTATTTGGAAATTAATCTAGAAGGCTTGTCCAGTCTAGACCAGAGGCAGGGAAGGTGGTTGTTTGAGATTATTGTATTTTTATGGGGCATTTAAAATAAAAATTTACATTACTTTTAATTTACAGCAATGCTTGGAAGAGGATAGCAGTCATTAAAAGTGTATTTTCTAGTCGATCTCTACTAAATGTGGGTAATAGACAAGCCAGTATAATTGAGTACCTGCCAACTCTTCGAAACATTTGCAGGAGTGAGAAGCTAAAAGAACAAGAAAAATGTAAAAGAAGGTAAAGCCTGTAGAAAACAAAACATTTTATATAGCTTTGTCAAAGTTAATAAATATTCTCATCAGGTGGAAATATTAAATTATATTTTTCTTTGTAATTTTGACAGGTTCCTGCACTATTTTGAAGGAATTCATCTTGACATTCCAAAAGAGACTGTGACTAGTTTGGCAGCTGACTTCCCTTGATACTGGGCATTAACAATGCCATTTACAAATTATGTGGTGCTTAAGATACATTGTTATATAATGTTGATTTTCATGGAAGTGTTCATTTTTCTTCATGTACATTTAAAACAGACTATTTGTATTTTTTATTGCTGTGCAGATATTTAAAATGAAAAAATTGAATTATAAATTGTATTTATGATTGTGGTAGTTTTTTTTGAATTTTTTTATATTGTCTAATTTTGCTTTGTTGATATATTTTTGGTAAATGAATGAGCTGTTGTTTCTAGAAGGTAGTTCACTAAGATATTTCTAAAGATACAGTGCTAACCTAATGCTATATTTTTTTCCCTTATTACCCTTAACACACCCCTCTCTAAATATCAGTTCTCTCAGATTGTAAATATGAAGCACATAAATGGTGATCTTTTTAAAGTGCTTTTACACAATATATAACAGAATTATACATACAGCGCTTAACAAAACTTCCTAGGAGCTGGGTATTAGGGTGCACACCTGCAATCTCAGCACTTGGGAGGCTGAGGCAGGAGGACTGCTGCAAGTTCGAGGCCAGCCTGGGATACCCAGTGAGTTCAAGCCCAGCATGTACTACAGGGTGAAACCCTGTCTCAAAAAATCAAAACAAAGAAAAAAGAAAACTTCCTAGGAAGAAAATTAGGTTTCATTTTTCAAAAACGAAGAGCTTCTGGATAAATTTATTTCTAGTGTACTTCCCAACATATTTACCATTGAATCAACATTCTGAATAATAGCCAGGGATTTAGCTCAGTGGTTCTGCCACCTGCCTCAAAAGCACAAGGTCCTGAGTTCGAGCCTCAGTACCAAAAAAAAAATTTTTTGAATAGTTTTCACCAATCACTTTTAGCACCCCTACATAGGTGATATCTAGTACATTTTGCCAACACAAGTCACTTGCCTTGTAAATTTTTCTTGCATTTTTATAACTTTTATTTCACAATATTACTGGCATTAATGTATCATTTTGGACAAGCTCCTATTCATTAAAACTGTTACAAAGGAGGATTCTGCCATAGGATTTCTACATACTAACCCTTTCCACACACAGTTTTTTTTGGGGTGCTGAGGATTGAACCCAGACCCTTGCCACATGGTAAGTGTTCCACCACTGAGTTACATCCCAAGCCCTTTGTGGGTTTTTTTTTGGGGGGGGTATCAGGGATTGAACTCAGGTCCTTGTGCTTTGAGGCAGGCAGCAGAACCACTGAGCTAAATCCCCGGCCCCCCCAAGCCCTTTGTTTTTGAGACAGTCTTGATGTGTTACCCGGGCTGGCCCCAGATTCATGAGCTCAGGAAATCCTGCTGGCTCACCTTCTCAAGTAATGAGGATTACAGATGTATGCTGCCACACCCAGAAAAGGTAATGTTTTTGGGGAAAAAAGGATATATTTTTATTCTGGTAACAAGATCTTAAAATACCACATTTCACTTAATGTCATTTTGTATCAGATAATCAAGTTTAAAATCACTCTATTTCAAATGTTTGTATTATATAATAGCTTAATATTTCAGATACATTATCTGCTTAATTGTATTTTAACTAAAAAGGATCCTAATTTTGTAGTTTTTAAAAATACAGATGCAAACCTGTTTTCAAATGTGTGTAAAGATGTTTTTACCTCTTATTTGTTCAACCTACCTTTTCTTGTGTTGACCAGCATATTGATCTAATTAAAGGTTAAAGCTAAAACATAACTTATGCAGTATTTAAATAAGAGTTCAAGAGGTAATCATCTTTGTAAATATGTATATTGTGCAGATTTGGATATAGGCTGTATCTTACAGCTTTTGTTCCTGTACAGGAGACCAATGTCTTCTGAATCTTTTTTTTTTTTTTTTTTTTTTTTGTGGTACCAGGGATTGAACTCAGGTCTGAAGCTTTTTTAAAGTATACTTAGCTATTTTTCTACTGACTGTATCCTGTAGACCACTCACCTGTTAATTAGGTGTTTTATTATTAGAAAACTGACAATTCTCAATAAAATAAAATAACACGATAGAGCTGTATTCAAGTGATTACAAATCAAGAAATAAGCAGAATGTGGTGATGTACACCTGTAATCCCAGCTACAAGCAGGTAGATCACAAGTTCAAAGCCAGCTTGGGCAACTCAAAGAGACCATCTCAAAATTAAAATGGAAAATAAAAAAAGGACTGAGGATGTATGTAATTCAGTGCTCCCCAGTACTGAAAAAAGTAAAAAAATAAAAATAAAAAAAAATTGAAGGTGTTTTCTTCCATAATAGGATACATCTGATTGGTCTTTAGTATAATTTGGAAAAGTGTTGTTTTATGGTGTTGGGGTACAGGAACCCAGGGCCTTATGTGTGCTAGGCAAGCGCTCTACCACTGTTCATCCTTAAAGATGATAAATTCCTATAAAATTCAGATAAATTTTTGTGATAAAACTACCCAAATTTTAGCTAGGGCTGGTGGCTCACACCTGTAATCCCAGTACTCAAGAGGCTGAGGTGAGACAAGAGGATTGCTGTGAGTCTGAGGCCAGCCTGAACTCCATAATGAGACCCTGTTTAAAAAAAAGTAAGGGGCTGGGGATGTAGCTCAGTGGCACTGTGCCTGCCTGGCAAACACGAGGTCCTGAGTTTGATCCCTGGTACCACAAATAAATAAGTGAAAAAGTAAATTTTGATGACTTTTCAATACTTTGTGTCTTATATAATGTCTAAAACTGACACATTTTCTTTTATAGCTATTTCTGAAAATATGTGGGAGGTGAATGCCATATTTCTGGCATGAACGGACAGCCCGTAAAGCTGTTTGCTAACTAATGTAAACAAGAACAAAGGTGCTAGTTTGGAGGCAAAGAAAACAATTTCCTTTTAGACGTGTGTGGTTTGAGGTGTTTACCTTTTCAAGGTGGCAATGTATAGCATGCATGTAAATGTGGAGGCTTAGTGTGCATGGCACTGAGTCCAGTGTGTACAGCAGCCCCAGAGAGCTGGATGTGCTAGTGTGGCAGGACTTCCGCTTCCTGCTGTAGATATATACTTCTGGTTGTTTGAATTTTTCTTCTTCTTAACAAGCATATTTGACTTTTGGATTAAGGAGAGATTTAATACTGTGGCATCAAAAAGAATGGTTCAGTACAAGAGATATAATGAGGCCCTGAACTAGGGCAGAAATAGAAAATTGAGAGGGACGTGAAAAGAAAAATCATGTGAAATGTTTCTCAAAAGACAGTCTGCCTCGCAAGCGCAAGGACCCGAGTTCAATCCCGGGTACCAAAAAAAACCAGTCTGTCGGGCAGGGGATTTAGCTCAGTGGTTTCGCCACCTGCTGCGCAACCGCAAGGACCCGAGTTTGATCCCCGGTACCAAAAAAAAAAAAAGACAGTCTGTCAAAAGTCCATCAAAGTGAGAAAATGAGTATTAGACAAAGTGTGTTCAGGGGGAATGTGTCTGAGCTGATGAAAACTGCCTCCTGTAGACAGTCTATCAAGCCACATTCTACCTAGAAAATAAGAGGCTTCTACAAGTTGTGTTACCAACTGCCTTTTGCTTTATTCTCATAAACACCACCCAGAAAAATCTTTATTCCCTTTTCTAACAATATGAGAATAATGCAGATCTTTAGCATAGATGATATTTGCTTTCAAAGGGAGATAACTTTGTTTCTTTTTCTTTTTTTGGTTGGTAGGGGGGCATCCTTACTGTTTAACATTTAAAATCAAAAGGCTCAAAATCTCATAAAATATTTATTGATTTGGTCTTGTCTATTGTGTGTACTATTTCACAGCCAAGTCTAACTTTAAAAATCTAAAATATACTCAAGATGTGTTTTCTTCTCCTTTGACATGGGTGTTCAGAACAGCTGGGTTTAATTTTAGATTTTATAAATATAACATTAGCCAGGGATTTAGCTCAGTGGTTCCAGTGCCTGCCTCACAAGCACAAGGTCCCAAGTTCAATCCCTGGTACCAAAAAAAATAATAATATTAGAAGAGATCCATTAACTCAGAATTCTAAGTCTCTGTCAAAAACTGCTAATTCATAGAAAGCAACAGCTTGTAATAATGAATCATATAACTCTTCTATTCTATGTGAGCTAGATAAAAATCTCTCTCTGTAGTCCACTACTTTATCTCGTGGGAAGAACACCCTCGGATCCTCCTTTAGTACAGACTCGGAGATGAACTGCTTGACTAGTTCTTTTCCACTAGTCCGAGAGTCACCGATCATCAGTTCAAAGTGTTTCCCCACTGCATTGCGACTCATGCTCAGTACCTGATGCTGGCCATCCTGGGCAAAAGTTTTATCTAGTAAAGCATACAGCATGGCTTCTGTGACATGAAAATGTAACAGAACGGGGAACAGAGTTGGGTTCTGAAGTGAAAGTGGTGTCTTTTCCAGAACATAGAAATCTGCTTTTGGCATCTCTGAAATGACTGATGAAATCTTAAAAAAAAAAAACACAATAAGTAAGCAAAAATAATGTACTTTTATGTTTGGGTCTTTCTGACCTATTTCTAATTTTAAAATATTTTAATTAGGTATCTTTTATTGTTGTTGACGATTTTGAAATAATTGAACAAGCATTTTATGGGCAGCTAAGTTCTGGGCATGGTTGTCAGAAACAAGCTATTATGACCTCCTACGTACTGTACCAGTTTCTTCATCTGTTAAATAGGATTCATAATTTTTTTTCTTGTTTTTTTTGAGACAGGGTCTCACTATATACTTCACCCTGGCCTTGAACTTGTGGCAATCCTCCTGCCTCAGCCTCCCAAGTCCTGGGATTACAGGCCTGAGGCACCATTCCCAGCTTTTTTTTTTTTTTTGAGACAAGGTCTCCCTGGCATTGAACTCACTCTGTAGCCTAGCCTAGTGCCACCATCCCCAGCTCCAAGACTTCCTAATTCTTAAAAATCTATATTAGCTTTAAGACAGACAATTTAATATTTTTTTATTAACCATTTAAAACTTTCTAGGGTAGTTGGGTATAGTGGCCCATGTCTATAATCTCAGCACTCTGGGAGGCTGAGCCAGGAGGATGGCAAGTTTGAACAATTTAATGCCTCAGTGACACCCTGTCTCAAAAAGAAAAACTCTAGGCTGGGGATTTAGCTCAGTGGTTCTGCTGCCTGCCTCACAAGTGCAAGGTCCCCATACAAAAAAACAAAAAAACAAATTCTGAGGACATAGCTCAATGTAAACGTCCTGGTTTCAGTGCACAGTACTGCCAAAATAATTATAATAATAAATTTTAAAATTCTAGGGTAGAGCATAGGGCTAGAACAGTTAACCAAGAGCCAGGCATGGTGGTACATGCCTACGGTCCCAGCTATTCAAGAGGCTGAGATGGGGGATTATGATTTCAAGGCAGCCTGGGCAACTTAGTGAGATCCCCATCTCAACAACAAAAAAATCTGGCCAAAAATTAAATCAATCATTTTTGTAAATAACTAGTCATAGATGCTTGACTGAACAACAGTTTTCTTATGTAAAATCAGGACAATAATTTATCATCTGCCCATTTCACAAGATTCTGAAGACCTAAATAAGACAAGTGATAACATTTTAAAAATAAGCTTTGGGGCTGGGGATTTAGCTCAGTGGCACTGCACCTGCCTCACAAGTGCAAGGTCCTGAGTTTGATCCCCAGTATCAATAAATTTAAAAAAAGCTTTATACTATACCACCAATTTTCTCAACATCTGCCTTCTTGAACTAATTGAAAAAGATGACAAAAACAATACAAATGGGTAATAACTACCAAAAGAAAATCCATCCTTACTAATTTTATTACACTTCTTCCAGGCCTAATTTAAACTTACACAAGAAGCTACATGAGTAATAGGAATTTGGAGGTGCAACTGTCTTACCTCTTCTAAATAAACTGATGATGGGGGTATTTTGTTCCTTAGTTTCCAACAGTCATTATGCTGCCAGTCCAGCACTGTCAATTTACGATCAAGCTGAGCCCATGCAATTCTTCGAGTACCAAAAACAATGGACACGATACTATTAACTGCCTAAAAGAAAAGGCCTGGTTTAATTACAAATATAAACATTTTAACATATACAAAACCTAATCTATTTGCCGCCTGCTGTGCAAGCGCAAGGACCCGAGTTTGATCCACGGTACCAAAAACCGCACCCAAAAAACCTAAACCAGGTATGGTAGTGCATGCCTGTAATTCCAGTACTCAGAAGGCTGAGGGAGAAGGACTATCATGAGTTCAGGGCCAGAATGAACTACATAGTGAGATCCTGCCTCAAACAAACAAACACAACCTAATCTATAAGCTCAGAATGGCTAATTAGTTTATTAAATACAAAATTTATTTAGTTTATGAAATGAGAATTATTAGTGTTGCCAGAGTCTGTGCTAGATACTGGAAACAGAACATAAAAACATTCTCCACAATTTTTTTTTTTTTTTTGGTGCCGGGGATCGAACTTGGGACCTTGCGCTTGTGAGGCAGGCAGCGGAACCACTGAGTTAAATCCCCAGTCCTAAAACCATTCTAAGAGCCGGTGATTTAGCTCAGTGGTTTCACCGCCTGCTGTGCAAACACAGGGACCCAAGTTTGATCCCTGGTACCCACCCCTAAAAAAAAAAAAAAAACATAAGAAATGTCACCGTTCAACAGTTACTATAAAGCAAAGTGGTCACGAAGGTTTACTGGAAGATGAAAATGAATAAAATGGTAAATATAAAGTGATTTCACCCCGACTGCAGTTAGGCTGTTTTCCTGAACTAAAGACAGGACAAAGAACAGAGAGTAGTTGTAAAGTTTAGTAACTTAACTTTATTCTGAGAGCTACAGGGAGCCACCAAAGCATGTAATTTTTTTTTTTTTTTTTTTTTTTGAGGCAGGGTCTCATGTTGTAGTTCAGGCTGGCCCTGAACTATGGAGCCCAGGCTGGTCAAACTCACAACAATCCTCCTGCCTCAGCCTCCGTGTGCTGGGATTACAGGTGTGCACCACCATGTCCGGCATTTTTTTTTTGTACAGGGCATCAAACTCAACCTTGTACCTGGCCAGGCAGACAGCAACCACTGAGCCATATCCCCAAGCCCCAAAGCATGTAATTTTAGGGAGTACTGTAATATAAAATTTGCATTTCAGAAAAGTCACTGACAGTATGCAGATGGACTGGACTGATGAAAAGTAGGGATCTGTGTTAGGTACCATTATAACAAACTATTAAGAACCAAACACAATGATGGAGAAGAAAATGATCAGATAGGGGAGTAGAAATGATACCTTGTGTAGGCTGGAGGAGGAGCTAGGAAAACGAGTTTTATGTTATTGGATGGCATCCTTAAGATAAAGAAGAGGGGCATATTGGAAAAGCTGGGGAGTGAGTTGTCTTACTGTGTTGAGTTTAGATGGCTAGAGGCCTTTTAAGAGATGGATATATGGGGCCGGGATTTAGCTCAGTGGTTCCAGAGCCTGCCTTGAAAGCTCAAGGTCCTGAGTTGGGTCCCCAGTACCAAAAAAAAAAGAGATGGATATATGGATTTAGCTCTGTGCTGGATATAAAGTACATCATCTCATTTCTGTTGGCCTACTTAGTTGTACTGACAAATACACTACTGGGGGCCAGGGATTTAGCTCAGTGGTTCCACCCCCTGCCCTGTAAGCTCAAGGTCCTGAGTTTGATCCCCGGTACCAAAAAAAAATAACTACCCTACTAGGGGTAATTAAGGAACAACTTACATTTCTATACCCATCACCCTTTCTGGTAAATAAATCACTGCATAAATATATTAAAGAGGAATAGTTTGAGCACTCAGACATCTACAAAACACCGATTTCCTATTGGCTCTTTAGCTCAGTGACACTCAGGCTTTAGTGCATAAGCACTGCTAAACCATACTACACATAGTACTTCCTTGGACAACAGATTTCTAAAAAAGATTTTGTTGCACAATTTTCTCCACACAAATTGACTTTAAAACTTAGTGTCCAGGCCAGGGATTTAGCTCAGTGGTTCTGTCACCTGCCTCGCAAGCATTAAGGTCCCAAGTTTGATCCCTGGTACAAAACAAAAAGCAAAAACAAAACAACTTAGTCTCCATATTTCTAGCTAAATGGATCCACCTTGAGACCATACTCTTAAGTGAAGTAAATTGAACACACATGTTTAAAATACCGAATTGTCTACCTGGTGTGATAGAAATAAGAGCTAAAATGTACAACAGACATGGGGAAATGGGAAAATGTTCAAATGAGAGGGGGAACAAGGGAGCGGAGAGGGGGAAAGGGAAAGAAAGGACAAGAAAAAAAAGAAAAAGGAAAAAATGGAAACAAAGCTTTTGTACATAAGGATGGTGGAATGGGGGAAAAAAAGAAGAAAGATATATCATGTACTGGTACAAATTCCCTATGATGAATGTTACCATTATGTATATCTAAAATATATCGATAAATGTTTTTCTAAAAAAAAAAAAAAACTTAGTCTGCAAGGTGGTGACACACACCTGTAATCCCAGCACTTGGGAGGCTGAGATAGGAGGATCGCCTGAGTTCAAAGTCAACCTGAACGACATAGTGAGACCCTGTCTCAAAAAAAAAAACTCTCTCCAACTGGGCATGATGAAATTACATCTGTAATTTCAGTGCTTGGAAGGCAGAGGCAGGAGGACTGCTATGGGTTCAAGATCAGCCTGAACTACACAGCAAGACTCTGTCTCAAAAAAACAAAAAAAGGGGCCGGGGATTTAGCTCAGTGGTTTCGCCGCCTGCTGTGCAAGCGCAAGGACACAAGTTCAATCCCTGGTACCAAAAAATAAAATAAAAAGTATATGCAGTATTCTGTGTACATGTTATAGTTTTCCACCCCTGGCAAGGTCCATAAATTTCACCAAGTTTTCAAAAAAGTATCTATAATCCCCTCAAAACTAAGAACTACTGGGCCGGGGATTTAGCTCAGTGGTTCTGGCGCCTGCCTCGAAAGCGCAAGGACCCGAGTTCGATCTCTGGTACCAAACCCCCCCCCCCCAAAAACCTAAGAACTATTAGGGCTGGGGATTTAGCTCAGTGGTTCCACTGCCTGCCTTGAAAGCACAAGGTCCTGAGTTCAATCCCCAGTACCAAAAAAACCAAAAAAGAACAACTGCTGTTCCCTGACTTCCCCAGAAAAAAAAGATGAGTATTATGGGATAAGAGGATATTTTATCAAGCAAAGGTACACAGGACCTAAGTTCCTCCAAAATTTATTGTGTCAAATAATTTGAATAGTTTTACAGGTTACACTTAAAGAGGTTTTGTTTTGTTTGAGACAGGATCTTGCTTGGGGCCAGGGATCTAGTTCAGTGGTTCCACTGTCTGCCTTGCAAGTGGAAGGACCGGAGTTCCATCCTGGGTACAAAAGGAAAATTAAAAAGAAGTCAAAAAAAATTGGCATGCGGAGCTGCAACCTGATACAGGATCTTGCTATGTAGCCTGGGCTGGCCTTGAATGCATGGTGATCTTCTTTCCTCAGCTTCCCCAGGGCTGGGATTACAAGCATGTGGTAACATGCCCAGCTACAATTTGCTTTTAGAATGCTGTTAATGGAAGTATGGGGAGCAGAAAATAATTTTACATCTTGCCATAAATACTGGTATAATGTTCTAGAGTCACTGCTTGGCTATAACCCATTTTTGCATCTTAATTTCTCATTACAGCTGGGTATCTCTACAACAGTCCTATTAAATATATCTTGCATAGACCTATTCATTTATTTATTTTTGGTACCAGGGATTGAACTTGGAACCTTGTGCTTGCAAGACAGGTGGCGGAATGACAGAGCTAAATCCCCGGCCCTATTTATTGACATCAACTGTTTTTCTACAATGCCCTCTTCTTCCACTCAGCCTAATTTTCTCTCATTCTAGTAAACTTAACAGTAGTAGCTTAGTTTTCTCTCCTCTCAATTGCCAATTACTGTCTGTATACCTTATTATGTGCTAGTAATCATACTTCGCAATTATACAAGTATGGATAGATCCACCAACTAAACCTAAAGAACCCTGTACTAGTAACACCCCAGCCCAATGCCCAGAATGATGGGACCACACAATTCTCAAACATCAGGCAGTGAAACAGACACTAAGACAATACCTTAAGTCTCTCTCTTTCTATATCCGGTTTGATGAACTTTCTCAATTGCCAGTTTTCTGGCAACTTTTTTTTCTTTTCAGTCTCTGGACAAAGAATTGAGTTACAAACTTGAACAACAGTTTCATACTGCAACAAGGGCACATTCATCAAACTTGCCAAATCCTGAAACGGCCCCAATTTTTCTCTGTACTTTACAATATTGATGGACTTTCTTCCACGAAGCAATTTGAAAGCTTCAAGTTCTTTATTAGATGCTGTATTCAACACATGCAGGATGGAAGCCTGCTCTTCTGAAGAGAAGATCTTATCAAGTACATTTCCAGACTCCTTTGCATTTTTACCACAGGAAGCAAAACTGGTAATAATTCTTTCAGGTTCAGTGGATTTTTTCCGACAGCAGAAATTACATAGGTCCTGGAATAGGGACGACTTCAGTGGAACTGGAAAGCATGTCCACCTTCCTAAAAGGAAAATTTATCAAAATGTAAGTTGGGATGTCCTACTTTCCTTTAGTATTAGTTGCAAGCCTCACCAGATCCTTGGCAAAGTCCCACAGATTTTCCTATAATTTAACCTGGATCACCTGAAATAATTTTTAAAGGAGGTTAGTTTTAGAACTATATTGTAGTTACCTCTGCACACAGTTTTTTAAAACTAGGCTTTTTGTTATTTTTAAATCAAAAGAGATGTTTTCTGAGTCTTATGGATCAGTCCAAAATTTTACTATTTAGAAAATTGTATTTTATGTCCATCAAGAAGTTGTAGGGGCCGGGGATTTAGCTCAGTGGTTTCGGCGCCTGCTGTGCAAGCACAAGGACCTGAGTTCGATCCCCAGTACCAAAAAAAGAGAGAGAAAAAGAAGTTGTAGTTATTCGGGAGTGGTGGCACATGCCTGTGATCCCAGCACTCAGGAGGCTGAGGCAGGAGGATTGCTGAGTTTGAGGTCAGCCTGGGCTACATAGTGAGTTCAAGGCCAGCCTGAACTGCGTAGGAGACCCTGTCTCCAATAAAAAGGGGGGGGGGCTGGGACTATAGCTCAGTGTAGAGTTCTTATCTAGCATGCATGAGGCCCTAAGGACATGTTTTCAAAAGCTTAATGTTGTCAGTATTTGTAATAGCAGAGGGACCATTTTGTAACTGCTATTTAAGATTTATGGGGCAGGGGATTGAGTTTTGTGGCACCGCACCTGCCTCCCAAGCGCAAGGTCCTGAGTTCAGTCCCCGGTACCTAAAAAAAAGATTTATTGTCACTTTCATTTTCACTAGTTTCTCACTCGATGAACTACAGAAAATTAAGTTTTATGCATCTATAAGAAACAGTTTCGCTAAGTAGTAGATTTATGGGAGGCTTTATTTCCTACTGTACACTTTTCAAGATTTGTACCAGGCCTTTTGTTTGTTTGTTTGGGTTTGTTTTTACAGTACTGGAGATTGAACCTAAAGCCCTGAGCATGCCAGGCAAGCGCTCTACCCTGCGCTAGCTACATCCCCAGTCCCCGTGACTATTTTTTTTGCAAGCAGAACAAACACTGTATAATGCGTAACTTTGCAAAACCAGTGTAAAGTCACTCTGCCATCACAGCCACAGAAAAATACAACCAGAGGCAACCAAGCTCTGGTCAGAATCTGAATCTCCCTCCTGCCTCCCAGACCAGGAAAAACGCAAGCAGACCCAGGGAAACACAGATTGAGGTACGGGACCAGAACTGCTGTCAGCTCAGCTAGAGCTCCAAGTGGGCGACCTAGATGTGAGACGTAAGGAAACACTCCAGGATCGGGGGTTAATGGCATGGGAAATTAACCTTCTATTCCAGGACTTCTACTTCTGGCCTTGAGGAAATACCGGACGCTCATCTTCCAAGTCCCGTCCCAGGCTCCCACGGTCAGTCCTCCTCCACTAATTTCCGGTTCCTGTGTGCTTCGCCCCAAAGCACGCGGCTCATGCTCAGCAGAAAGGTTCCGGCTGAGCGGCGGCTCGCAGGGCGCCGAAAGCCGAGCCCTTGGGTGTCCTGCAGACTCACTCCGCAGTGTCTAAGAAACTTCTCGCCCGAACTTGCCGCTTACAGCGGCTGCGCCGAATCTTCCTGGAACCGAACGCCTCGGCTAGCTTTAGTCTGTAGTTCGTAAGGACTCTTCAGGTCAGGCTCCCCGTGTTTCTCCCAGCTACGTAGATTGGCTCCTATGGGAACCCAGTGTGCGGCCGAGTGTGGTGGGGAGCGGAGGCGGGTACAGGACGATGCCCCCGGGTACAGTGGAACAATTCGGAGAGAGGTGAAGTTTCAGAAGCTCAGCAAGGAAAAGAGAGCAGATGTAGGGGCCCAGAGTGGTGGTGCACTCCTGTAAGCCCAGCGCTCGCGGCAGGCTGAGGCAGGAGGATCGCCGCCAGTTTGAGGCCAGCTTAAACTACATAGCGAGACTCTGTCTCAAAAGGAAAAGAAAAGAAAAAAAAATGCAGGCAGAGTATCAGAGAAGGGCGAGGTACAAGGAGAGGGCTTTGGCAGTGGGCACAGTATTCCATTTGGAAGAGATGGAGGGAGGTGAGGCGGGCGTGAAGTTTGGTTGGTATTGAATTCGGAGAGGAAAGGTTATAGATCTCCGCCCGCCAGGTCGCGGGGAGAGGTCTGGAAGCTCCTGTACCTTCCAGCTTCCCAAGGGAGAGCGAACAGAAAGGAAGTGAACCTGGGAGATGTGAGGAGAGTGGAAGAAAAAGGATTCTTTCTGGAAGATGGGGAGACTTTAGCTAGTTTTGTGAAGAAGAGGGGAGTCAGGAGGAAGGGAAAGGTGATGGGTTTGGGTTTTTGTGGGACATCAATGAATTGATCGTCCGTATGTCTATTGAAAGCCAATGGGGTTTGACATGGGCGTCGTATTAATAGAAATTACAGGAATTCTAAGAATCTTGGCCGTTTCTGGGGGACTTAGGAATCAATCTAACAAGAAATAAAGTCAACTTATTTTTGTATAAAATCGTCCAAATCAGGAGGAAAGGATTTCCCTTTCGTTCAGAGCTTACTCATTTTTTTTTTTTTTTTTTTTTTTTTTTTTTAGTATCGGGGATGGAATTCCGATCCTTGTCCTTGTGCAGCAGGCAGTGGAACCAGAGCTAAATCCCCAGCCCTAGAGCTTACTCAATTTAATGAACTGTTGTGGTTTAACGGTAGTCTTCAAAAAAAGTTATGTTGATAGCCAGGCATAGTGGTGCACACTTGTTATCCTAATACTTGGGAGGCTGAGGCAGGAGGATCAATGGGAGTTTGAGTCCAGCCTGGGCTACACAGTGAGACCTTTTCACAAACAAACAAACGATATGTTGAAGTTCTAACTCAGTACCTCAGAATGTGACCTTATTTGGAAATAAGGTCATTTTTGTTATAATTGGTTAAAATGAGGAAGAGGGGGGTGTAGTTAGTGTAGGGCAATGCCTGGTATGCGTGGAGGCCCTGGATTCAATTCCCAGCACCACACAAACAAGCAGACAAAAAGGTGAAAATGCCAGGTACAATGTCAGTGCCTGTCCTGCCACCTACTGCACTTGGGAGGCTGACATGGGAGGATCCTATGAACTCAGTCGCCTGGCAACACAGCAACACCTCAACCTTAAAAACAAAATAAAATAGGTCACACTGGACTGGGGCAGTGGGTAATCCAATTTGGCTATTGTTCTTGTAAGAAGATAGCCATATACAGATGGAAGCACAGTTCAGCTGGAGGGGGGCATTTACATGCTGAGGAAGCTGTCACCAAAAGCCAGGAGAGAGGCATGGGACAGATCCCCCTCAGAAGGAACCAACCATGCCAATGTGTTGGTTTCAGACTTCTGGCTTCCCAAATGAGAGAATAAACATCCACCCATTTATGCCTCTCCATTCATGGTGATTTGTTGCAGCAGTCCTAGGAAACTAACAAATGAAAGTAAAGCGTAAAGACTCCTAGTAATGTCTCAGAGGTGGTGTGGTTTGCTGGCAAGACACAACTTAGCACTTATTGCACAGCTCAGGCAGTTTCTCAGCCTCTTGGAAACTCAGCTTCCTCATTTGCAAAATGGAGATGCCTGTACCGCCCCAGGGGACTGCTTGGAGGATTCAGAAGAAACTTTCAGGATACACTCAGCATATAATAAAAGATCAGTGAAAACACTTCTAATTATTAATGACCTCAAGGGAAAACACCCTCATTTCTCAGAGCCTTCTTTCAGAATCATGCTTCCACCAGAAGGTGGAAGTGATAGGGAAAGAAAACCAGCACTCACAACTGTAAACCAGAATCAGGGTGTTCAAAACGAAAACTGGCAACTTCTTCAGAAACTGGCTCCTCATTTCCCTGTTTTTATCGCCTACAGACCGATGTCCCTGCCTCAGGTTAATTATGTGTGGGAAAAAAACATTAAAAATGAATGCTCTGGGCCGGGGATTTAGCTCAGTGGTGCCACTGCATGCCTGGCAAGCTCGAGGTCCTGAATTCGATCCCTGGTACCAAAAAAAAAAAAAGTAAACTGGATTTCATTAAAGTTGGAATATGTTAAGATACCACTAAGTGAAATGGCAAGTTACAGAATGAAATAAAATATTTACAATACTACAGCTGAAAACTTGGATCCAAAATATATTTTCAAAAAATATATATATTTTCAAATTTGCTACAAATTAAGAAAAGCAGGCAATCTAATTTTTTTAAATGGGCAAAGACTTTAATACAGACACTTCATCTATAGAGGAGACATAGATACACTTTTTGGACACTAAGGATTGAACCCAGGGCCTTACCTGTATTGGGCAAGGGGAAGTACTATTATTGAGCTACATCTCCAGGCCTTTTATTTTTTTATTTTGAGACAGGATCTCACTAAATTGCCCAGGCTGGCCTTGAACTTGCAATTCTCCTTCCTCAGCCTCTTGAGTAGCTGGGATTACAGTCATGTACCACCATGTTGGCATAAAAAGGATATATTCAAGGCAGATGAAAAGTATTCAATTTTATTAGTCATGAAGGAAATGCAAATTAAAACCACATTGTGATATCACTGCATACCATGAAGTTAGCTAAAATGAGAAAAGACTAATAGGTCAACAGATTGGAGTGTTGGTAAAGATGTAGAGCAATTGCTGATGAAGTGTGGCTTGATAGAGTCACTTTGCAAAACAGTTTGGTAGTATCTAGTTTCTTTAAAGATATGTGCACCTCAGGGACTCAGAAATCTGCCCCCTGGGTATGTGTCCAACACAATGCAAACGCTTGTGCACTTAGAGGTGTGCAGGGTTCCAGCTACTTGGGAGGTGAGAGATCATGACCAGTTTGAGGCCAGTAGGAGTAACTTGGGGAGACCCTATCAAAATAAAACAAATGGGCTGGGAATAGAAGTCAGTGGTACAGTGTTTGTCTAGCATGTGAGAGGCACTGGGAAGTGGGGGAGGAGTGTACAATACATTGAACTACATGTATAAAATTACTAATACTTAACAGATGTTGATTACAAAACTGGCAAAATTTCACATGGTTAAACCTGGTTACAAGAATGTTCAGAGCTGGGCATAGTGGCACATGTCTGTAGTTCTAGCACTTGGGAGGCTGAGGCAGGAGGATTGCCATGAGTTTGAGGCCAGCCTGAACTGCATAGCAAGTCTCAAAAAAGAAAAAAAGAAAAGTTCATTGCTCTGGGATTGAACTCAGGGCCTTGCATATGCTAGGCAAGTGCTCTGCCACTGAGGTAACCCCATCCCTCTTTATTTTATTTTGAAATGGGTTTCTCAGGCTTTCTGGCTATGATCAAGTATAGCAGATATCTATTCTTATTTTGAGACAGGGTGGCCTCAAACTTTCAGTCTTTCTACCTCAGCCTCCCAAGTAGCTGGAATTAGGGCCAGGGATGTAGCTCAGCATCGTTGCACCTACCTGGCAAGTACAAGGTCCTGAGTTCAATTCCTGGTACTGGAAAAAAAAGAGAGAAAAGAACCATGTATCTGGAATTACAGGTATGCATCACCATGCCTGGCTACGTGCATATGTTAGTGAACTTTGACTACAGCCAGTAATATGGATGAATCATAAACATATTGATGTGAAACCATACATTAATATATGAGATGCCAAATCAGACAAAACTAAGGTTATAAAAAACAGGTTACATTTGGGCTGGGGATTTAGCTCAGTGCTGCCACCGCCTGCCTCATAAGCACAAGGTACCGAGTTTGATCCCCAGTGCTAAAAAAACAAAAAAACAGGTTATATTTGAGGGCTGATTACTGAAGTAGTAATGGGCCTTTTGGATTACGCACTTTTCTATATTTGTTATGCTTTAATAAAATGTTACTTGAAAGTTTACTTCCCCAAATTACTTTGAATTAGAAGTACATCATCTAAGGTTTGAATGTTTAGTGACATTTTTTAATAGGTCATTCAGGGAAGGGGGTACTTGACCTAATTCTCTGACCCACCCACAACCCTCAGTGATATTTTATAGAGGAAAGATAATTAGTCCTACTAGTTATAGTCTGAGAGAAATTTTAGGGTTTCTTTTTCCTGTCTTCCAGTATACTTTATTGTCTTTCAGCATTGCACAGAACTAAAATGATTAAGCAAATGATCAAAATAAAAAACCAACACGCACAATTTGAGACCCAGAATCAGCGTATTTGGGCTCATGCACCACCACTGCTACATATTATATATTTATCTCAATTTGTTTCTATTGTTCAGTTTTCTTTTTTTTTTTTTTTTTTTTTTTGGTACCAGGGCTCGAACTCAGGTCATTGGGCGGCAAAACCACTGAGCTAAATCCCCGGTCCCAGTTTTCCTTTTTTGCAAAATAAAACTCAAAGCTCCACTCTTGAATGACTGTTGTGGAAATGAAAATATATGAATCATTCTTAAACTACACAGTGTTATACAATGAGACATTACTCATTGGACAGTTGATTATATAGTTTAAGATGAAATGAGACTGTCTAGGAAACATTCTCAAGAAGAAAACGCCCAGATGCTTTGTAGCACAACCCCTTATGTGGTTAATTTAGGCATAACTTGGGGTTTTGGAGCCCAGGTTTAATTTTTATTTTATTTTACTGGTACCAGGGATTGAACTCTGGTCCTTGCACTTGCAAAGCAGGTGGAGGAACCACTGAGCTAAATCCCTGGCCCTGGAGCCCAGGTTTTAAAGCCCAGTTCCATGGCAGACACTTCCCTTCAGTGTTCAAATTTCCAACAGATGTCACTATAATCCCTACAGTTGGAGTTGGGACTAAAACTCTAAGACTTAACTTCTCACTCAGTGTTCCAGATAATGGTCTAAAATGAAAGCCATGAGGGGTGGGGATTTAGCTCAGTGGTTTTGCCACCTGCTGCGCAAATGCAAGGACCTGACTGAGCTCTATCCCCCGTACCAAAAAAAAAAAAAAGAAAGCCATGATCTTGTGTCTGCTTAGGACTCATTTTCTGGCTCTTTAGATTTTGCAGCTGCATTTTTCCATTCTCTGGATCTCTAGTAGGTTGGTGCAAAATGCAAATTTGCATCAACTGGACTGCCTGTGTAATGACAGTCTCAATTCCATTCAGTTTAACCACCCATCTTTTA